CCCCCAGCCATTAATTAAATGCTGGTAAAAAAATTATGGCCATTTATATGGCTGCTAAATAATAAGTTAATTGCCACAAAAAGCTAGTTTTGGTGTAGTGAATGGACCACATATATAAAAAAATACATATTTCTTAACTTCTCCATTGGTAGAAATTGTCACAAAGACAATATTATCAGTTATCACTAAATATGTCTCAGCAAACCAAGATAGACATATATATATATATATATTTAAGACACATGCTAGCTAATCAATGAAATTATTATCTTTTTACTAATGGTGAAAATATTCAATAGAGATACACCTTTTCTTTCTCTAGTTACGTGAGTTTCTTGAAGAGGGTGATGGTACATTCCTAAAGAAAATCGATGGCTCATTATTTTCACAAATCATCAATGGTGCAAGGTTCGAAATATCATCAGGAATGATGAAATCATATTGGCTCTTGGATGAATCATACCAATCATTGTTTTTGTTATGACTTTCAAAATGATCGTTCTTTCTCCCTTGACTTGAGGTTCCTAAAACAACCAAGATCTTTAAGACGAGGATGTCGTTTAGCAACTTTGGTCCTTGGTTTCTTCACTTTCTTATGAGGTTCCTTGTTTTGTGAGTTTTCATGCCACGGTGTCTTCTTGATGTCTATTCAATTATTACCATCCTAAAGAATATTATGAAAAAAAAAATAATCATTTTACATACAAATATTTAATGAAAATCAAACATGATATCAAATAATCGATGGTATTATACAATTATATACAAACAACCAAAATATTCGTGCATTCGTATGGGTCTTAAGTTTTTATGTATATTTTAAAATTAGTTGTATATATAATATAAAATGACATATTTTCGACATACAATAATTAGTCCAAATGTAATGAAAAATTAAATTGTATTAACTTAAAAGATTATATAGTGTTAAAATTTATAATAAATGATAAATACTTTTTAAAATATATAAATTATATTTTGATTTGTAATAAATAATTTATATTATAATATATAATATTATTTTTAACCATTGATTATTTCCTTCAAAATATTAAAAAAAATTAAAATATTAATAATAATAAATTGAAATAGATAAGAAATCAAAGAAAATTCATAAAACACTCTTATTAAAGAAAAGTTCATAAAAAAGTTATATTGAAAAAAAAAATTTAAGATTATTTTGATTTATATAGATAAATTATTACTTGTTTGTAATATATTATCTCTAGAATTAATATATGCAAATTATGACTTTATATAATCTTTAATTTCAAGATTAGAAATTTAAGAATTGTTATTATGAGTATGATTTTATTAGTTCATATTCTCTAACATATTTAATGGGTTATACTCATATTAAAAGGACGACACAAAATTTTTCTACTTTTTTGAAAATTTAATATTAAAAATATTAGTTTCTCTAGTTGACGCTTTAAAAAAATAACAATTTTATGCAACATTGGTTCTCTGAAATGATTTATATATAGGATTTCTCCAGAATTTTTCTCATGAGAGAAATGGGAAACTAACATTTTGAAATTAAAAATAAAATTTTAATGTAATAAAAACACATTATCTTTATTTTTTTAATACAATAAACTATTTGATTTTTAAGTTTATAAACATTATCATAAATAATATTTATGACCAATCAAACAATTTTTCATCATTTAAATCATTAATTTTAAAATTTATGATTTTCATGAATCATATTTTTAAACACAAAAAAAGAATTTATGATATACCAAACACCCTCTAACATCATGGTCAAAATTTCTAAGAGGAACTTTAAGTCTTCCTTTCTTTTCCTCTAACTCTTTCTAAATTATTTTATGCCAAATTAAAATACATGATTAATATGCATGTAGATTAAAGTTTATAATTAAAATCTAACCTCTATGAGCATGAGCCTTTTCTTTTTTAAAAAACTCACTCATCTACACTTAATCCAATTGTT